GGTAAATTCTAACCCATGAAGGGATCACAGTTAGTAGACATAGAAGGAATAGGACATAGATTAGAATTAGGACAAGGACACCTTTGTTCTGAAAATCCTTAGGATAAATGGAGTTAGGTACAGTCCATCCATTAAACCATTAGATGATAATTGATGGGAAACTTTTTTGTTGTTGGGCTTTGTCCTTGAATCTTTTCTTCCCCTGTCATGACTAGCACGCTACCACTTGAGCCACAGCTCCATTTCAGCTTTTTGGTGGTTAACTGGAAATAAGAATCTCATGGCTTTTCCTGCCTGAACTGGCTTCAAACCGTGATCCTCAGATTTCAACTTCCACAATAGCTAGGATTACAGGAGTGAGCAGAACCATACCAGGCTAATGGAGAATTTTTAATGGTTTCTTTAGCTAGCTTGAATCCACCTTTGCTAAAAACAGGGAAGGAGAGACAAGCAGGCCTCTCAATGAGAAGGAACAGAAAGTACAATAAGCTATCCAAAAGGGATTGATCAATGACTAGTCACAAGAACCAGTTTGCAGGAAATACAGGGGGACAGAGGGGGGCGGATTATGTTAAACTGGCATCACAAGAGTAAGGGTCCCAGGAGGTCCAATTTCAACAGATAATTGCAGGAAAAGGAAAAAAGAAGGAACGTGAGTGGATGGGGAGGAGGAAATACCAAAGATTAAGATTTTAATTTTAGAGGGAGGCCAGCCAAGTATATGTAGTTTATTTGGACTCTGGCTCAGGGAATAGTATATATATTTATATATATATATATATATATATATATATATACACACACACATATATATGTATATATACACATACATATATATGTATATATATATATATATATGTCAAGAAATTAAACTATTGATCTCTAAAATTTGCTTTAAAATAACCAAGTAGGGACTAGGAATGTGGCTTAGTGGTACAGTGCTTGCCTAGCATCAATGAAGTCCTAGGTTTGATTCCTCAGTACTATATAAACATAAAAATCCAGAAATGGCACTGTGGCTCAAGTGATAGAGTGCTAATCTTGAGCAAAAGAAGCTCAGAGAAAGTACCAGGCCCTGAGTTCAAGCCCCAGGATTGGCAAAAGAAAAAAAAAAATAAATAATAAAATAACCAAGAAGGGGTTGTAATGAACTTACAATTGAAATAAGGCTCCCATTATTGATAATTGTTGAAGAATAGTAACACTTCTTGTTATTTATAGTGATTTATTGGAAATAAGAGTCTCACAGACTTTCCTGCGTTAGCTGGCTTTACATTGCAATCCTCAGAATTCAGACTCCTAAATAGCTAGGATGACAGGTGTGAGCCACCAATGCCTGGCCACTTTCCTTATTTTTAACATGTTTGAATTTTCCTGTGATAAATTTATTTTATTTCCAGTTTAAATGTTAGGATATGTGAGTCCCCCACCCATCTTAAGTGGCCATTTGGGGAAAACAACAAAACCCCGTCTACTCGCAGTACCATCTATGGACACCAGGTGGCTCTAAAGCTCAGAAATTGCAAGGCTTTTTTTTTTTTTTTTGGTCATGGGGCTTTTAACCCAGGGCCTGGGCACTGTCTCTGAGCTTCTTTTGCTCAAAGCTAGCGCTCTACCATTTGAGTCACTATGCCACTTCCGGCTTTTTTCTGTTTGTGTGGTACTGAGGAATGGAACCCAGGACTGAGCCAATTCCCAGCCCAGGCAAAGCTTCTTTCTGCCAACCAACGCCGGAAAAATGACAAGACATACCATCAAGATCCATTCTCATGGGGTGGCTCAGTGGTAGAATGCTTGCTTTACATGCATGAGGCCCTGGGTTCAATTCCTCAGCACAACATAAGCAGAAAAAAAAAAAGCCGGAAGTGGTGCTGTGGCTCAAGTGGTAGAGCACTAGCCTTGAGCTGAAGAGCTGAGGGACAGCGCCCAGGCCCAGAATTCAGGCCCCACGACCAGACCTCCCCCATCCCCCCCCCCAAAAAAAAACCACTCTCACTAATTCATAACATGACATGCAACTATCCAGTTTTTACTCTCTAGTATTTCTTCTAGGCAGGAAGCTTATAATAAGCATCTTGTAAGCTCTATCCCTCCAGACACTCTAATGGTCATCCTGGACTCTCCTTTTGTTTCATACTGCATTCTTTTTTTTCCTTCTACATTTCTCATGATTATACTTAATTAGCTCATTCCATCCTCTTGACTCTACTCTGGTTCAAGTACCTTACTGTCCTTTCTAGATAATCCTCTATCATCCCTATTCACCTTCTGCTTATAATCTATAATCCAAATTGCAAAGAGTCCTCTTCTAGAATATGAAGGTAACATCCACCCACCCCCTCCCCACGTGGCTGTAAGACCTCATAGGATTGGGCTCTTGTATACTTCTGCAACCTCACTCTGATCTTTTCTTCCCCTTACATTGTTGGATTTCAGAATCACTGGCTTCCTTTCTCTCCAACAAACACACTGGATTCATTCCCATTACCCTTGACCTTTTTCCTCCCTCAGCCTGAAATGCACTTTCTCCAAATATTCACAATGCTGACTTACCCTCATCCTATTCAGGGACCTTGGAAAATCTTGCAAAAACAAGAGTCTAGACTGTCCTCACTTTTGCCCTATTACACAGCTCCCTTTATCTTTTGTGAATAGTCAGATGATAAAACCATCATTGGGAGAGCTTTGCCTGGATTTTCTATTCCCTGGAGAATATACATGAAAATTACCAGAGAACAGGAAGAAAATGATGAGCTTAGCCTGTGGTTTTTTGTTTGTTTTGTTTGTTTGTTTTTGGTCCGGTTGTGGGGCCTGAACTCTAGGCCTGGGCGCTGTCCCTCAGCTCTTCAGTTCAAGGCGAGCGCTCTACCACCTGAGTTACAGCGCCACTTCCGGTTTTCTGGTGGTTTATTGGAAGTAGGAGTCTCACGGTCTCTCCTGCCGGGGCTGGCTTTGAACCTCGATCCTCAGATCTCAACCTCCTGAGTAGCTAGGATTACAGGCGTGAGCCACCAGCACCCGGCTTACTGGTTCTTATCTATAATTAAGCACTAAAAATCCACAAGTAGAGGTGTGGTTCAAGTGGTGAACTGCTTGTACTTGAGAAAAAAAAAATTCAAGTGTGTGAGGCCCTAAGTTCAAGCCCCATGCTTGCGGGCACACACACACACACAGTTATTTTAGTATCCCTTAATTTGGTAGGTGTTTTCTATTTTTGGTGCTACTGATGTTGGGCATTTGTTAGGTGAGCTATTTTTTTGGGGGGGGGGGGGGGTCTGGTCGTGGGGCCTGAACTCTGGGCCTGGGCGCTGTCCCTCAGCTCTTCAGCTCACTTGAGCCACAGCGCCACTTCTGGCTTTTTTCTTATGTGGTGCTGAGGAATCGAACCCAGGGCCTCATGCATGCAAGGCAAGCGCTCTACCACTGAGCCACCTTCCCAGCCCAGGGCTATTTTTATTTGAAAGAGATCCTCATGTTTTTTGTTTTTGTTTGCCAGTCAGGGCCTGGGCACTGTCCCTGAGTTTCTTTTGCTCAAGTCTAGCACTCTACCACTTGAGCCACAGCGCCACTTCTGGCCTTTTCTGTTTATGCGGTACTGAGCAATCGAACTCAGGGCTTTAGGCATGCTAGGCAAGCACTCTACTGCTAAACCACATTGCCAGCCCTCCTCAGTCTTTTATCTTTCTTGACCTTTAACCAAAATACTTTAACATTGAGTTGTTTTGTTTTGACCCACTGGTATAGAAAAAGGAAACCCATCCGCCTATTTGGGGCCAAATTCCCTAAAATGAAGTTTCAGAAGAGATGATGCAACTTCAAAGAGCTCATCTCTGCTCATAGTATTCTAGTGTTTCTTTTAAAATGTTACTAATCGCACCTATTACTTACTCTTAGTTTATTGGTTCCGTGTTTGTCGTTTTCCCTGCCAAGACTATAAGATAGAGGTTTTGATTTTTTTTTTTTTTGGGTCCGGTTGTGGGGCCTGAACTCTGGGCCTGGGCGCTGTCCCTCAGCTCTTCAGCTCAAGGCTAGCACTCTACCACTTGAGCCACAGCACCACTTCCAGGTTTTTTCTTTTTGCTTATGTGGTGCTGAGGAATCGAACCCAGGGCCTCAGGCATGCAAGGTAAGAGCTCTACCACTGAGCCACCTTCCCAGCCCCGAGGTTTTGATTTTTTTATTTACGGCGTACTTCCAGAGCACAGCAGAGTCAGAACACTCAGGAGTCGATACATTTTCGTTGAATGAATGAATGAGAAATGCCTCTTGGCCTTGCCACTTAAGACTGGCTTAAAAAGGAACAGAGACGGTAAGTGGAGGTTGTGATCCTGGGGAATGGGCCCTTGAGTATGGAACTGTAAGCAATGTACTTGGTAAGAACCTTGGGATGTGCAGGGCTCCCACAGGTCAGTAAGGCTCGCAATGAGAAGGGTTTCCCGGCCTGTAACTGTCTAAGATCCGGGGATCCGGGCGCTTCAAAGCCGCCATGGCCTGCGGATTGGGCCTCGGGGCTCTTCTATTCCTTTTCTCCACTCAGCCCCCCGAAACTCGCATCTCACCCACACCCTAGCTCTGGGGAGCTGGAAGTCTTGGGCACCTCGCTGGGCCGAGCGCCGCTGGCGGTGTGGGGAAGCGCGGGCCTTCCTCAGGGAGCTCGGGCCTGGGGCCTCCGGCCTCCACCACAGCGCCGGGCGCTCTGGGGGCCGCCCCTGCTTCTCCACGTTCGCTTTCCGGGCTCACCGTGGCCCAGGGCAGCGGACAGGAAAACAGCATGTGAGGAAAAAGGTGCAGCGCTAGGGGGAATCGCACGCAGCAAACGGCTTCCCGGGGAAAGCAGAAAAACACCTCCGCCGAGGTCGACAGGCGTCCTCCCCGCAGGCCCCGCCGCGCGCGCTGAGGTCAACTCTCGCGAGGCTTCCGAGAACGCAGCGCTGCGAGGCTTCCGAGAACGCAGCGCTGCGCTGCTTACGCAGTTACCACGGCAACCGGGCGGCGCCTGAGCCGCGCGCGGGAAGGCGGCCTGAGTCGCGGGGTTTTGTCTTGTTCGTTTTGTTTTGATTTTTCTGTCTTCTTGCCTCCGGTCACTGCGATTGGAACTTCCAGCTCCCTAGCCCACTGCCTCTGATCCGGGCAGTTCTTCGTCCCCCTGAGGCCATGGGTCGGATCTCGGGGCTCGTGCCCTCTCGCTTTTTGACGCTCCTGGCGCATCTGGTGGTCGTCATCACCTTATTCTGGTCCCGGGTAAGATGTCCGGCTGCCCCTGTTCCGCCCTCAACCCCATCTCGACTCCCAGTTCAACTCCACCCCCCCCCCAGCTAGAGGTCTTACCTCTCTGGGTTCCTTTTCGTTTCCTGCCACCACCCCAGCTTACCCCCGCCACCTCCTTCTCTTTTAACATCTTTTCCTAGGACACCAACATCCAGGCCTGCCTGCCTCTCCGGTTCACTCCCGAGGAATATCAGAAACAGGACACCCAGTGAGCTTCGGGGACGGGGTGGTGTGAACGAAGCGGGGAAGGGACTGGAGGCCATCGAAGAACTCTGCAAGTCCTGACCCGATTCTTTTCCTCTGCAGGCTGGTGATAGCGCTCGCCGTCACCCTGGGCCTCTTTGCAGTGGAACTGACCGGTTTTCTTTCTGGAGTTTCCATGTTCAACAGCACTCAGAGCCTCATCTGTATCCTTTCTTCCTGTCCACTTTTCCCCCCACACAATTCCGTAGGCCTTTCTGGCAAAAAGTGTCTCTACCCTAGCTGACCAACAGAATCTCTCTTGTTGAGAAATCTTAGATAACATGTTTGTGTGAGTGAGTGAGTGATCGATCGTGCTGGTACTGGGACTTGAACTCTCTCACATATGTACATTTGTAAGAAATGCTGTGGTATATAAGGGGTGTGTAACATATAAGGCATTATAAGAACAAGGAGGCCTTGGGGTGAGGCACATTGATCAAAGAAGATTCTTTTTTTCTTTTTTCTTTGGGGTCCGGTCGTGGGGCCTGAACTCTGGGCCTAGGCGCTGTCCCTCAGCTCTTCAGCTCAAGGCTAGTGCTCTACCACTTGAGCCACAGCGCCACTTCCAGCTTTCTTTCTTTTTGCTTATGTGGTGCTGAGGAATCGAACCCAGGGCCTCATGCATGCAAGGCAAGCGCTCTACCACTGAGCCACCTTCGCAGCCCTTTCTTTTCTTTTTTTGGTGCTTAGTTCTCACCTCCAGTCCCATGACTGTCTTAAATTTAGATGTAGTTACTGACACTGGTCCTTGCAGTGTGGTAAGGGAGCAGTGGGATGCTATCCCCACCACTGGCTTTTCTCTGCCAGTAATCCTGTGAATCTAAAGACTTTCCTTGACTGGAATGCATTTGCTAGCCATTGCAGCTCACTGTAGTGCATCTGTGTCTCTATCCTTCTTCATATTTGAACGTTGGGAGTGTACCACGTACTGGTACATTTTTGCCTTCTGCAGGTACAGTAACACAGTATTAGGGAATAGAAGTGGAAGATGGAAGGTTTTCCCCAAATCTGAAAAGTTCCCCCCCCCCCCCAGCCTTTTCCCCCAGGTGTGAGGCATCACATACACTCAACATCTTTTGAAGTTTCATACCCCACCACCCCTGTTCCACTCCCCTGCAGTTTGAGGGTGTAGTCTGGTTTGGGAATTGGGGTTTCATGTTGGAAGAGGCGCTGAACCCACCACTTTCCTTTCACAGTGCCCTCCCAGCTGTCACTGAAATGGCATTGCTTGTCGCCGTCTTTGGGCTGAAAAAGAAACCTTTCTGATCATCCTGATGAGAAAGTAGGTATGAAGCCGGAGGGGCGCAGAACATCTCATGGTTCTTTGAAGAAGGAAGGTGAAGGTGCCGGTCCCTTCCACCATTGGATAATTATCCGAGATTCTCCTTTTATACAGTGCTTTATAATAAAGTATATTTTACAGTAAGGGTAAGACTGATAACAATTTTCAGAAGACAATTGGGGTGGCCAAATGCTTGTTTAGCCAGCCCTACTGGTCACAAAATAACTTACACCGCTTCTATTTTGAGTTTTACGGTAGACGGCTGGCGGAAGAAGGTGGGCGGGGATATGTAAATATACTGGGTAGGGCCAGATATCGCAAGTGTATGTGCGTGAGTGGAGCATTCTGGGAGAGACATGTTTTTGGCGTTTTGGTTCCTAAATTGGGAAAAAGTATATTTTTAAGGATTTTCTAATAAGTGTTGCAATATAATTATAAAAATCTCTAGACAGCTGGGTTGCACGAACTTCCCCAGTAGCTACTCACCGTAGTTTATAGAGGAACCGTTTTTTGCAGAGTACGGAATGGGTGAGGTTTCTCGCTATCGTCAGGTAGGATAATCCTTACCTGTTCCTCCTTCGGGAGGGCAGATAGAACGTGATGATTGGAGCTCGCATGACTCGTGATTAAAGTCTTCGCGTAACCAGAGACTTACAACACTCTGGCTGCTCCTATCTGATTCTTCCTGGCGATCACCGATTTTCATTAGTACGTAATTATTAGACTTAACCTCCGTCTGCTCTTTCTACATCGTTGTGTTTTGTGGAGACTTTCCAAGTGTGTCCTTTTTGGTGGTGTAGCTCAGCATCTGTTTGTGTCTTATTTCCACCACAAGAAGTCAGCCATTCCCGTCCTGGGTAAGATGTTTCCACCCTGAGGTTTGACCAAACAACCTTTAGTGAGGCATGTATGCCAATACCAAAGAAGATGAATGTTCAAGAGAGATAGCTAGGCCTGGGCGCTGTCCCTCATGAGGCTCTTCAGCTAGCGCTCTACCACTTGAGCCACAGCACCACTTCCTAGCTTGTGCTTCGTTCTCCTACTCTCGCGGTCTCTCTCTTTCTCTCCCCCCCCTCTCTCCTTTGAGCTTTTTGCTGGAAATTTTGAAATTTCAGGAAGTCTTACCTTGCTTTTCCTGCCTATTCTAGTTTTGGACTGTAATCCTCAGATCTCAGCCTGCTGAATAGCTAGGATTGCAGACATGAGCCACCCGTGCCAGTTTAGAATGAATGTTCTGAGTTCAGTGTATGTTGGGAAAGTTTTCTGCACCAAATGGTGGGATTCAAGCTATTTTGAATAAATAAACAAAAAAATCCAAAACATCCAAGGAGATGCTTCCTGTGATGTCTTCTTACTGTACACACATAACCTCTCTGATTTTCCAATGGCCGCTTTTCATCTTCAGCATCTACTCAGTGAATACTTACAGAGCCCTATTATATGCAAGGCACTGTAATACCTGAGGGAATGGAAGTGGCTAGGACACATCTATTTAGCTATCACAGATCTTATGGCTAAAAGAGACAATTCCCAGTGCTCCCAGAATAATTATGCAAATTGATTAGTGCTACAAAAGAGATTAAGATACTACAGGACAGATTCATTTGCCAGGTGGCTGGAAGAGTGTGTGGCTTCTAGAAGAGCAGTTTGATGAGGACTTGGAGTGGAGTGGTAGGACAGTAGAGTGTGGAGGAGACCAGAGGGGAGACTTTGCTCACTCCAATCAATTACAGTCTGCCTTGCATCTCACCTAGTGAAGTGTTCCTACTGAAATTGGAAAAGCTGTGGACCCGTTCCTTAGCACAGCCATTATTAAAAATTAAATGAAGGGGCTGGGAAGGTGGCTCAGTGGTAGAGTTCTTGCCTTGCATGCATGAGGCCCTGGGTTCGATTCCTCAGCACCACATAAGCAAAAAAAAGAAAAAAGCCGAAGTGGCGCTGTGGCTCAAGTGATAGAGCGCTAGCCTTGAGCTGAAGAGCTGAGGGACAGTGCCCAGGCCCAGAGTTCAGGCCCCACGACCGGACCCAAAAAATAAATAAATAAATAAATAAAATAAATGAAGAACCTGAGTGCCAGTGGCTCACGCCTTTAGTCCTAGCTACTCAGGAGGTTGAGATCTGAGGATCCTGGTTCAAAGCCAGCCGGAGCAGAAAAGTCCGAGAGACTCTGATCTCCAATAAACCACTAGGAAACCGGAAGTGGTGCTGTGGCTCAAGCGGTAGAGCACTTGCCTTGAGCTGAAGAACACAGGGACAGCGCCCAGGCTCAGAGTTCAAGCCCTGCATGAAGCCAGGTGCTGGTGGCTCATATCTATAATCCTAATTACTCAGGATGTTGAGATGTAAGGATTGCGGTTCAAAGCTAGCTGGCAGCAAAGTCCCTGAGACACTTTTTTTGTTTTTTGGGGGTCCGGTCGTGGGGCCTGAACTCTGGGCCTGGGCACTGTCCCTCAGCTCTTCAGCTGAAGGCTAGCACTCTACCACCTGAGCCACAGCACCACTTCCCCATCTTTTTTTCTTTTTGCTTATGTGGTGCTGAGGAATCGAACCCAGGGCCTCACGCATGCAAGGCAAGTGCTCTACCACTAAGCCACCTTCCCAGCCCTCCCTGAGACTCTTATCTCCAATTAACCACACAAAAACTAGAAGTGGAGCTGTGGCTCAAACTGGTAGAGTATTAGCCTTGAGCAGAAAAGTTCAGAGATAACACCCAGGCTCTGAGTTCAAGCCCCTCAACTGACTGCTTCCCCCCCTCCCCTCAAAAAAGGTAGATTGGTGCCGGTAGGTCATTCTATAATCCTAGCCACTCAGGAGGCTGATATCTGAGGATCAGATCAAAGTTCCAAGCCAGCCCAGGGAGGAAAGTCAATGGGACTCATCTCTAGTTAGCTACTAAAAAAGTCAGAAATAAAGCTGTTGCTCAAAATGATAGAACACTGGCCTTGAACAAAAACATTCAGGAATAACACCCAGGCTCTGAGTTCAAGCCCCAGAAGTGGTGCCCGCGCGTGCGTGTGCATGCACCCCCACACACACACACACACATACACACACACAAATGAAGTGGCTGGGAAGGTGGCTCAGTGGTAGAGTGCTTGTCTTGCATGCATGAGACCCTGGGTTCGATTCCTCAGCACCACATAAGCAGAAAAAGCTGGAAGTGGTGCTGTGGCTTAAGTGGTAGAGTGTTAGCCTTGAGCTGAAGAGTTGAGGGACAGTGCCCAGGCTCAGAGTCAGACCCCACAACTGACAACAACAAAATAAAAAAGTAGATGGTGGAAACTTAGAATTAAGTAAGTTACATTAAGATTGCTGATTTCTCGGAGATAAGAATCTCACACCTTCCTGCCCAGACTGGCTTCAAATCAAGATCTTCAGATCTCAGCTTCTTATATAACTAGGATTGCAGGTGTGATCCACTGCTCCAGGAGCCAGTGAACTTTTAACATAACTCTTCATTGCTTTATTCTCATTCATGTGTAGAAGTAAAAATAATCAATTTTCATGCTGGAACTATACTTGTCATTAGGATACAGCTCCATTTATGAAATGATAGCTACAAGCATAAAGAATACTGTAAAGCCGGGCACCGGTGGCTCACGCCTGTAATCCTAGCTACTCAGGAGGCTGAGATCTGAGGATCATGGTTCAAAGCCAGCCTGGGCAGGAAAGTCTGTGAGACTCTTATCTCTAATGAACCACTAAAAAACTGGAAGTGGTGCTGTGGCTCAAGTGGTAGAGCGCTCACCTTGAGCTGAAGAGCGCAGGGAGAACACCCAAGCCCAGAGTTCAAGCTCCACGATCGACCAAAAAAAAAAAAAAAAATACTGTAGACCTGGGGACATAGCTCAGTGGTAGAGCACTTGCCTAACATGTGTGAGGCCCTGGGTTTCGTCCTCAGCACACACAAAATGTATTACTATTTACAAACTGTGCTACAATACTTGATAGCAAAAAACTTTGTAATAAACTTACGTATAGTTAATTGTTCATTGTTTACCAGCCCAGTCTGCACTGCCATCCTGAGAAATTACTCATTGCCAATGACTGTTTTTCTGTGTGTGTGTGTGTGTGTTTCCCCAGTCCTGGGGGCTTAACTCAGGGCCTGGACACTGTCACTGAGTCTCTCTGTGCTTAAAGCTAGCATTCTACCGCTTGAGCCACAGCACCACTTCCAGCTTTTTCTGTGTCTGTGGGTACTGAGGAATTGAGCCCAGGACTTCATGCATGCTAGGCAAGCATTCTACCACGAAGCTACATTCCCACTCCCACCACCCCCCCTTTTTTTTTTGGTGCTGGTACAAAGGCTTGAACTGAGTGCCTTGTTTGTTTGCAGCTGGCAATATACCACTTGAGCCACACCTCCAGTCTAACGTTGCTGGTTATTTTTTCTGCCCATTCTAGATTCCAACCATGATCCTCAGATCTCAGTCTCCTGCATAGATAGGATTACAGTCATGATCTACTGGTGCCCATTGTAGGAAAATAGAGGGAAAAGGTAGAAAACAGGCCAGACTCAATCTTCCACAGGCAATGACTGTTTCTTGAGATAGAGCAGCAAGGGACACAGCCTTCCCGTGGGTTTGAAGACTGTGTCAAGGAGCTAGGACTGGAGTTGGGTTTTTTGAGGTCTGAGTGAGGAGGCAGAGGTTAATAAAAAAGCCATTAGGTCTAGGGAGTGGGGGGCTTTCTGGTTGGGCCCACAATGGAATGTTTACAGCTGGGTTTAGGTAGATTGCCCTGGCTGCAAATCAAGCATGTCCATGCATACCTGGGTTTTGCCTGGTGTCTGTATGTGCCTGGGACAATAGGGTGGGGGTCAGTCCTTCACCCATTGCTGGTTATTTTGGAAATGCAATCTTGCAGACTTTTTGGCGTGGACTGATCTGCCATCCTCCAGGTCTTGGTTTCCTTAGCCACTGGGATTATAGGCATGAGCCACTGGCACCTGGCTGGCTCATAAACATTTATTGAAATGAAATTGGAATTTATTTAAATAAAACATGCATTTATTTAATTGTGGGGCTTGAACTCTGGGCCTGGGCGCTGTCCCTCAGCTCTTCAGCTCAAGGCGAGCGCTCTACCACTTGAGCTACAGCGCCACTTCCGGTTTTCTGGTGGTTTATTGGAGATAGGAGTCTCACGGTCTTTCCTGCCCGGGCTGGCTTTGAACCTCGATCCTCAGATCTCAGCCTCCTGAGTAGCTAGGATTACAGGCGTGAGCCACCAGCGCCCAGCATTAAAGTTTTTTTTTCCATCGGTCGTGGGGCTTGAACTCTGTGCTTGGGTGCTGTCCCTGGGCTCTTCAGCTCCAGGTGAGTGCTCTACCACTTAAGCCACAGCACCACTTCTGGTTTTCTAGTGGTTTATTGGGGATACGAGTCTCATGGAGTTTCCTGCTTGGGCTGGCTTTGAACCATGATCATCAGATCTCAGCCTCCTGAGTAGCTAGGATTACAGGCACGAGCCACCAGTGCCTGGCTAAATAAAGTATTTATTTAAATTAAACAGCACTAGACTGTCCCCTTCACCTGCCCCTTAAATATTGGTGATTACTTCTTCCTTGGCTGACTTATCCACCTCTGTTTTATGTGTGTGGAGGGGTCCCTCAGGGCCTTCCTCACATGCTACAAAAGCTCTTTACCACTGAGATGCAACTCCAGCCCAGATCTTACCTTTA